TGCCCTCAGCTATACAATGAGCTTGAAGTCAGCCTGAGACTTAGCCTCTATCTGAATAAATAATACACAAATTAAAAAATGATAGAAAATAAAATTAAAAAGCCCTTAAATTTTACTTAAAATATCTATGTAGAAAGCAAAGATGTAAAATATGTAGGCCATGTATTCAGTAGGAGAAATGGATGTATATAAATGTATATGTATGTATACATATATGTATGTATGTATCCAGTATATATGCAGGTGTGTATATTCCAGTGATAGCTTGATGTTTTTCCTAGGTGTTTCTAAACATCCCTGGTGTGATTTTTCCTTCCCCCTATCTTTGCTACCTCCCCATTCCCCTTCCCACTTAAACCTATCCCTTCATTAATATTATATACTTTTCTCATTGGAATATATATGCAGATATATTGGCATATATGCATATATATAGAGACATACATCACACACGAGAAGAGAGAGAGAGAGAGAGAGAGAGAGAGAGAGAGAGGGAGGGAGGAAGGTTTAGGTGGAGTCACCCTACATGGGGACCAATGCTTTTCCCAGAAGCCATAGTTTGTCAAAATGCTGAGTGCCAGGTGTGGAATGCCTACTTCCAAGTTGGTCAAGGGATTCCCAGAGACCCCAAAATAATACAGACGTTTGCTAGTGCTCTTGGTTATGTGAAAACCTTGATAAGACTCTACTGCTAAAGACACAAGGTACTTTGTTCATAGGACATGAAGAAAACAAACTAGTGTCAGCCTGGAAGCTTATCCTTGGGGGTTAGCTTTCATAGTACTGGGAAGTGTCAGGCAGGCTTGGGGGGGAGGGGTGAGTCAGCAACAATCTCATTGGGGGTGAACCATGTGAGCTGCAATAATGATTGGTCTGATAAGATATGCCCATGTGTGCAATGGTGGTATATATGTTTTGAGAGTTACCAACTAATTCCTGGTTCACAGGAGGAAACTCATGCTTGGTATTGTAGTAAATTTGACCAAGAACCTGTGGTTGAAGAACTCATATGTCTTAGAGGAGAACCTATTATGGTGTATCTTGCTAAACTGATGGAATATCAAACTGTCGTCCAAATATTCCTCTATACCCGTAGATAAAACCAGTTTCATTCCCCAAGAGAAGCTTCTTTGGGCTGTGCGCAGCAGTTCATGCAGAGACTTACAAGTCGCCTATCCAGAGAACAAATGCCTGTGGAGTGCTCAGCCACAAATCTGACGTTTATTTAATATGCCCTTCCCCCAAAGCTTAGAGGAAGAGGAGGAGATGGGATTAAATGCCAGAGGTCAGAGCAGACTGCTGTGAAACAACGTCTTCTGGACATGACATGGCTGTTGCATTGATGAACTCACAGCAGCTATGGTTGTTTGCACAAGTTCAAGCCAGAAAACATGCAAGCATCAGTGGGGGGGGGGCATGAGTCCCTGCTACAGCTGAGAAACTGTTAGCAGTTGATGGCTACTGGGAGACGGGGTACACACCATATACCTCCAGTGGTCTGACATTCTGAAAAAGGTAAAACTACAAAGATAATAAAATAAAAGGATGATCATCAGGGCTCAGGAAAAGGGGAAGAGAGAGACACAAGAGGTATGGCTTTCTTCAGTGGTGTAGCCCTAGGTAGGTCAGCCATGCTCTAGCACAGTGGTTCTCAAGCTGTGGGTCAAGACCTTTTTGGGGTTCAAATAACTATTTCACATACCTGATATCCTGCACAGCAGATATTTGCTTGCAATTCATGACAGTAGCAAAACTACAGTTATGAAATAATATTATGGTTGCAGCTCACCACAACATGAAGAACTGCATTAAAGGGTTGCAGCATTAGGAACATTGAGAAGCACTGGGACAGGAGATAGTTTCAAATCCATGTACATTTTGGTAGTGCTAATTTTGGACTCAAAGGGCTATGAAAACAAAGAGAAGGGGGTGAGGAAGAATGGAAGGGAAAGAAAGAAAAGGAGACATGAAGTTGGGAGAGATCCAGAAGGAGTTAAACGGATATGATCGAAATACATTGTATTTGTGTGAAACCCTCAAAGAATAAATTAAATATTAAAGTTTACAAAAGAAGAAATGTGGAAGGTAGAAACCATTTTGTTTCTTGGAAGACTATGGAAGGAAACCAGATAGGCATTTGTAATATCTGACTTGTAAGTTGGATCTAATGTGGTGGCTTTCAATTTCTCCATAAATTTCTAATAGTGTCATAGTGACAAGAAATGGCACCTCCTCAGACATCTACACCTGTCAACAACTTTTCTCCCTGCTCCAGGGAGTTGGGCTGACATGCCCCCATTGCAGTTTTGCAGAAATTGCCCTCTCCTGTTGCTCTCACACTCAAAGAGCCTCTGATTCCTGCAATGTCCACTATAGCCTAGCTTCCATAAACTAGCCTCAACTTTTTGTTGTTGTTGTTGTTGAATGGTCAACCATCTTTTAAAGACTTTTATTGTCAGTTTCTCTCCTCATCATTGTTTGTACTTTACCCTCATTTTGTGGAGATTTAGGATCAGAAAATTTAAGCACCAATTCTAAGTTTCTGATGCTACTAATCTTATATTTCTTCTGGATCAGCAGGGCTGAGGTAAAGATGAACTTAGATAAGCCAGTCATACCTTACTGCTATTAATGACATGCTGGTGGGGCTAAATAGAAGGCTCAGTTCTTAGAACACTGGCTGCTCATCCACAGGGCCTGGCTTTGATCCCCACACCCACAAGACAGCTCGTAACTGTCTGTACCTCCCATCACAGGGAGTTAAGACACCATCTTCTGGTCATCACTGATACCTGGCATACACTTGATGTACTCACTGACAAAACTTATACACTTAAATTTCATTCTCTTTTAAGATAACAGGCACATGAAGAAAATTTTTTCCAGTACAGAATCATATTATTTCTGTCTTTTCACCATTTGTATATCTGGTTCTCCAAGAGGCCAGCAGAATGCACCAGATCTGAGGGCCTGGAAATACAGGTGGTTCTGACCAATCTCATGTGGGTGCTAGGAATCAAACTTGGGTACCCAAGAGCATCAGTGCTACTGAGCCAACTCTCTAGGTCCCAAATATGTCGTTATCATGCTGAAGATGAAGGTGTCCTGTTGCTGGAGTTACTTTCCCGCCAGGTCCTGCTGCCACCTCAGCCCCAAATAAACACACAAGGATGTTATATTAATTATTAATCTGTTGGCCAACGACTAGGGCTTCTTACTGGCTGGCTGTCTTAGTTATTAACCCATTTCTATCAACTTCTTTAACAAATCTTGTAATCCCCAGAAGACCTCCCGCCTTCCCTGTGGTGTGCCTCAAATCCAAATCAAATAAACCACAGCACAGAACCAGATGATACCATATGTTGGGGTTGGGGGATAGTCCCTCTCTCATTTGTTATTGCTGAAATATGCAAAATAGTAATTACTTTGGGAGAATTTGGCAGATTTTTACAAAGCTAAACATTGTCCTAGTATAGACTCCAATTATACTCTTTGCTTGCTTGGTATTTGGCCCAGAGTGTTGAAAATGTGTGTTGTACAAAAACCAAAACACAGAGGTTTGTAGCACTTTTATTCATAGTCACTGAACACTGGAAGCAACAAAAATCTCTTGAAAAAGAAAGTAAATAAACAAATTACAGCAAATCTATGTATCATATATTACTATACAGTAATGACTTGAGATGAGCTATGTGTGCAAGCAACTTCAGTGGGGTATTGGCAGTCTTGAAATGTGACATTCTAGAGAAGGTAGAACTATGAGGACCATAGAAGAAAGATGATTGCCAGCATTCAGGAAGAGGAAAGGAAAGAGCAGGAACTTGACAGGACAGCCCAAGTACTCCATAGATACTCCAGTAGATGTAAGACATTGAACATCTGCTAAATCCAATAAATGTCACACTGTGAACCTTAAACAGATTTATGAAATCATTCAGGAACTCAAAGGACAGCATGAATGTGGAATACCTTTATTTTTTGTGTAACCAGGCCAAATGTTTAAAGAATCTTACCCAATGTGTGTATGGTATCTATAGGGTGGGTGGAAGCCCTGTCTCAACTTTAGAAGATAATGGCATATGTCAGATTGAAGCAAAAGGAATTGCACAGGAGCACATTATTTAACTGATGAAATGTTATCTCTCATTCAAGTACAGAAAAACAATCAGTTTTGCCATGTATTGCTCTGTATATATCATCTATATCTTTAGGCATATATCCATGTAGCTACAAATATCTATCTCCATGTTTTTATAATATTTATCTATGAATTTATGTATCTGGATTTATATCTATGCATTTGTTTATCTATATCAGCTATTTATCTATAGGCCTATATGTATGTCTTTTTCTATACACATATTATTTATGTGTTTATGTATATCATCATGTATATTTCTACCTATGTTTCTATCACCTATGCATCTATGTAATTATCTATGTAGCTATTATCTATGTATCTATACTTGTATGTATGTATAATGTCTATATTTGTCTATCTATACTCTTATTAATCAATTAACTAAATGACTGAGCTATGGTAAGATCCATATTTCCCACAGTTGTAATGAGAATTAATAGAGATGCACTGAGAAGAGTCAGAAATGGCCTATGTGGTTATGAATCACGTTTGGTGGAATCCATGATAATTCTGTAGATAATTATTGTTGATACAAATGGTTATGTATGCAAATATTCATAGATCTATCCATCTACCTACCTATCTATTTGGGTTATTACACATTTCTTTGCTTTATTCTAATGTAGTATTTTTAAAATGGAGAGTACTCCTCCCATGAGTCAGGTAGATACAAATACAAAAGAAAAGAATATACTATTCAGAATTTTTGGGGGCCAGTAGGGGGATTCAGTACTACAGACATGCTTAGCACTGGATTCAAATTCCAGCAAAGAGGTGTGCATTTTGTTAGGTCTGGTGCATTCCTCAAGGTAGGCAGGGGGGGGGGGGGGGGGGGGGGGGGGGGGGGGGGGGGGGGGGGGGACACGTGTGCATAGGGCAGTGGAGCACAGTTTCTATGACTTTTCTGAGATTCCTGAATAACTGAATGAGTAAGTGAATAGGAAGAAAGAAATTCCCATTGCAGAGTCATCTTGAGGGATTATGTAGATACTCCAGGATTACCTACTCCAGGAAGGAGAAACATAGTCCACACTCCTTAAACAGGGACTGTGCATAGTGACTTCCTTCCCATGGGTGCCATACAGGAAGTGGAAAGAGGAGAAGTGGTATACCTTCACAATGGAGAAACCTTGCAAATACCACTTCAGCCAGGTAACTGAGTCAATAATAGTAGGCATGAATCATGTGGACAAATGAACCTTGGATGTGATAGTGAGACAATGATACCTGACTGTGATTGGCCTCCTTGGAACTCACACCTCAGTCTAGTCATCAGAAAACCATCAGGTAGCCAGGAGGTGGAGGCACACACCTTTATCCCAGAATTCAGGAGAGAGGGGCAGACAGATCTCTGTGAGTTTGAGGCCAGCCTGGTCTACAGAGCAAGTTCCAGGACAGAATCCAAAGCTACACAGAGGAAATCCTGTCTTAAAAACCAACAATAACGACAAAAAAAAAAATCATCAGGTAAACTTCAATAGAGGGGCATCCTAAAAACTGCCTGCCCAGTGCTCTTCCTGTCAGGGCTATCAAAACCAGCAGCTCCAGAAGGCTGTCACAGCCTTCAGGAACCTAAAAGCAACATGATAATTAAATATAAATGTGGGTGGAATCTGGGAACAAAATAATGGGACATTTGGAATAAGCTAATGAACTCCAAATAAAAGCACAAGGTCTTTAAGTAGGTTTAATTATAGGAGTAGGAATTACCATCTGATTTTCAGTTGAAACAGGTAGTGAAGGGACTTAGGACCTCCCACCCTTTCTGCAGTTGTTGGTTCTGGGCTCTGATAGTTCAACCATGCCTTGGTATATGCCCCAACACATGTCAGTATATGGGAAGCACAAATTGGACTCATGTTACTTTAAAAACAAAAATAAGAATATTAAGTTGGGTGGGGTAGATCTGGGAGGAGTTATGGGGAGAAGTTAGGAAGAGGAACAGAAAGGCCGATATGATCAAAATACATTAAATGCATGCCTAACATTTTTTAAAGAATTAATGGACATCTTATATTTTGAAAAAGCAGAAAATTGGCTACAGCCATGGGGCGATTTGTGCCATACTCAACATTGATTAGAGAAGATTTATAAAAACATTCAAGTGTTGAGTATAAATAACTGTGAGTGTTCAGTTGTGGCTGGGTCATCTGTATCAACCCTGATAACCTCAGGGACCTTCATGGACAAGGGGGAACAAAAGAACCAGAAGAAGGAAAGGAGAGCCTTGGAATGCTGACTTATAGACGTGACCGGATGTTGCAGGCATCTACTCACCGAAGCTATGGCTACCTGAACAAATCAATCAAAATTCCTTCAAGGATGAAGTGGGGCCTTCAGGACACTATCCATTGCTGAGGAGCTACTGACAGATGATGGCCGCTGATGCAAGGAATGTCACGTTTCTTTGGGAAAAAGGCTGCTTATAAGGTGTTCATGTCCCAGTAGGTGGCCACATAATTACATGCATATGTGCAGTGCTAATTGGGCTCAATTATTAATACTAAAAAAAACATGAAAGTGAGATAGAGATGGGGTGCTACAAGAGTTGAAAGAAGATGGGAGTAGATGATATGATCAATATATGTTGTATAAATGTGTGAGACTTTCAATGAATAGAAATCTTCTTCTTTAAAAAGGAAAAAGAAAACAGACTAAATTCTCCCCAGTCCTCAAAAATCTAGGCTATTCATTTCTACATCCTGCTGATTTACACATTCCTCATCATACCACTTTGTATGCTTTGTCTTAATATGAGTAAGTATGGATTCTATAGCACAGCCAAACTCTACGATACTGGAAACCCCACTTTCATACTCACAAATGAAGCCAGCAGTGTGCATGGCTATCAGTGACCCTTTAGAATCGAATACAGGAGATCCTGAAGACCCACAATAAAAAATGTTGTCACAGGTAGCCACATCAAGTTCACGGACTGTTTCTTGGAAACTTCTCTGGGTGTACATATAGATATACTGTGTGGGATTACTGCCACCCACTTCCTCTCCTTCCTGAATGTGCTGATCTTGAGAAATCACGATACAGCCATCACTAAACTTCTGTTTTCTATCAGGATAACCAATAATATAAATCAATCCACTAGATGGCACAGGAGCTATTCCATTATATAGCCCTGCAGGTTCATGTTGTCCATTTTCTTCCAGTTTTAAGACAGCGTAGTCAAGAGTTTCATCGTATATCTCAAACCAAGATTCAATGGAAAAGCAGTTATCTTCACTTGCCAGGAACTCTTCATAATCAAAAGTGACTTTTGCACATTGACTAACTTTTTCTGCCCACTTACTTTGCTCTACGCCTTTCCCCACCATGTCATTTATCACATGCATACAAGTAAAAACATACAATCCTGTAAAAACGAAGCAGGTGGCATAGCCTTCATTTCCATTGTTGTTCCAAACTATGAGCCCAACTGAGTCACTGAACTGTGAAAGAAGTTTGAGTACTTTAGTTGGGGTGGAGTTTTTTGTCAATTTCCTGAAGTTTGCTTTATGCATTTCAAATGAGGAAGTTTTCTTACTTTGTTTTTCACTTTCTTCCTTGATGTATGCTCTGAGTTTTTCACATTCTCTCTTCAAGGTTGGATACTCATTCACAATGTGTGCTTTTAACTCCCAGTAAGACGGCTTCTCTAAATCAGTGGAGTCTGCTGCCTGAGGACATGTTCTCCTCTCCACCTCGACCTGAAAGAGCTTGCCCTCTAACTCATCCACTGGCTGGGTGTTTTCTATGATGGTGTCCAGGTCACTAATGAGCTTCCAGTGATCACTCTCTGCAAAAAGAAACCTGCCATCCTTCCTCAGAGTGTCCTTAATGATCTCTCCATTGAAACCATAGACACAGAGTTTGTTCCCATCTTGGTGAAGTTCTCTACACTTGAGAATCCTTTCATTCTTCTTCCCAAGGGCATGGATGTAAAATTTGATGCAGTCTGCACACAGCTGCTCCTGAGAACCAAACACTTGCTTATCTTCTCTCTGCTCACTTTCAGTTTGAGAGAATGTAATGAGCACATGGCAGCCTTCTGGAAAACAGTAAAGGGGCATGGCAGGGTTTATGTACCCTTCAATTCCTTTTATGCCACACACCAGCATCTCTTTGCCCTGATGATATTCTATCTCTTTCTTCACAGCCTTGAGAGTGTTGAGTGCTACATATAAGCTATCTGTCTTCCTATGTGTGAGTTTGTATTTCATTTTTTCATTTTTCTTATGATTTCCATCTAAGGTGATGCTAATTGTCTGATTTGGGAAAGTGGTCTGATCTTGCCGACATTTCTTAGGTGAAAATGCCCATTCATCATTTGTGTTGGTTTTGTCACTTGCTCTTTTTCTAAATTCTTCCTTAATTTTATCAACGTTGCAATCACTCTGCTCTTCTTTGGGGACCTAAAAAATAAATGGTAGATAGTGTACAATTCACAGGATTCCTATGGGAAACTCAGTACCAACCTCAAGAGACCGGTGAGTAGAGATAACCAGAGTTTAACTTGGGCTCCAAAATACAAGCTCAGATTCTTATAAAAATCAGTCAGAAAATCTCCTCACTGTCACGAGCACACCTCCCACCAGCCTGGTCCTAGAGCCACATCAGCCCCAAATGAACACTGAGATGCTATATTAATTTTGAAACTGTTGGCCACTGGATATGGCTTCTTATTGGCTAGTTCTGTCTAAATTATTAGCCCATCCCTAATAATCTAAGTATTTCCACGTGGTCTTCTCTTACTGGAGAAAGGGTCTGGACCTTTTACTCCTCTCTTATCCTACATGGTGACTGACTGTGCCTACATTTCCCAGAGTCCTCTTCCTTTCCTAGTCCCACCTATTTTGCTTCTCTATTGGCCAACAGTGCTTTATTCATCAACCAATAAGACAAACATATACACAGAAGAACATTCCCCATCACCTTACATTGCATATGGTACATTTCCCAACCAATATGGGGGAAGATACAAGTGTTATCCAGATGTTTTAAATCCATTAACTTCCTGATGGAGTATTTTAGGTCTTGCTTATTGTTTTAAACAATATAAATATCATCTTTGACAAGCACAGTGGTATATTGCCCTGGCAATTGTATTCATTTGTTTATTTGTTATTGTTTTTATGTCATAGGGTTTCATTATGTAACCAAGGCCTCCCCAGAACTCTTCAGTTAGTTCCTGTTGGCCTCAAGCATATGGTTGTCTTGCTTATGTCTTCTAGTGCTGGGATTTTAGAGACACCTTGCCATCCTAGGCTTTATAATTTTTAGTTTACAAATCTCAAATTCAGAAACAGTACATTGTAGTGATCTAGTACCAGGTATTCAATGCTAGCAGTAAAAAAAAATTAATTAATTATTTGCTCATAAAAATAGTTAATTTTGGTAATAGATACCTTGATTCATCCAGCATCTAACATGCAAGAATTTACCATTTCTGACATTACATCAATACCTAAGTCCTATGTGGGATATTCCTTTGCACTGTCTGAATCTATGTCATTGTGATTGGTTTAATTAAGAAGCTGACTGGCCAGTCGATAGACAGGAAGAGTTTAGGTGGGGCTGGCAGACAAAAGAGAGTGTGAAAGAGAAGAGGAGACATGGAGACTAACAAAATAAGCCTGCTGTGTTAAAAAAAAAAAAAGGTACTACCACGTGGCCGACCATAGACAAGAGATGTGGGTTAATTTAAGTTATGAGAACTAGTTAGTGACAAACTAAGCTATCAGCTGAATATTTAAAGTAAGTCTTTGTGTGGTTATTTGCGAACTGACTGGTGGGAAATAAAAGTCCACCTACAAATGATTTTCCAATATGGGGCTGGAATTCCCACATAAGACCTAACAAAGCTTAATTAAAAAATTCTAAACACACAAAATTACATCCTGATAAAATAACCATTTTTTTTTTCTCAGTGAGACATAATGCTAGCAGAAAAAAGAGGCTCAGCTCTTTTAAGAGGCAGCTTCCTGGCTCATTGCTACTGGCAAACATGGTGCAGCCCTTATAAGAGGCCCTGCTACCAAATGCTTAAATGGGGATCTATGAGTATCAGGTGCAGTGCTCCTCTGTGGCACTGTGGACTCAAAAACTTCCCAGAGCTGGAGCAATAAATGTGGCTCCCGCTGGTACCTCTGCTATGAGGCTAAGTTCTCAGGGAACCAAGGGAAGAGGAGCCAGTCGTCAATGCCATGTGTCAAAGCATGAGCTAAACTGAGCCATGCTAGCGACTAACATAGCAGTTTAAGATTCGGTGGGGCTGTGGTGGTGCACACATTCAGGAGGCAGAGGCAGGTGGATATCTGTGAGTTCAAGACCAGCCTGATCTACAAGAGCTAGTTCCAGTTTAGCCTCCAAAGACACAGAGAAACCCTGTCTCGACTCTCCTGTCCTCCCACCCCCGAAAAAAAGGATTCGTCTCATGCAATCAAAGAACAATACAGGTGCTCAGTAAATACAGATCCTGACAGAAAAAAAGAAAAAAAAACTTTAAATGTGTTATGGTATGTTTAAAAATATACATAGGCTTGAGAGAGAAAAGAGGATTTATATACAGTCATAGCATAAAAAAATTGTGTAAGAATAGTAAAGTCCTTTAAAGGGAGTAAAATAAAATTACTGCCATGTAAAGACAGGAAATACACAGAGAGTCTGGGTTATCTTTAGATTTTCTGATGGTTAATGAAGGAATGACAGTTGCTAAAACACACTGGATTATTAAAACTGCTAGATTAAATCAACCTAGATATTCTAAAAATACCTTGACTTAAGAATGGAAGTCAAAAGGTGTGTTGTTTTGCGGGAGGGGTTGTGTTTTTATTTCCACGGGAAATGAGAGGCTATGGATTCATTTTAGGCTGTTATGGATCAGGTTTAATCGGAGAAGACCCCCTAAAAATCCTGGCTACATACATCAAGAAATAGACCTAGAAAAACTATAAAACATGTAATATGTATTTTACGGAAGAACTTTGGGTGACTGTCCAGGCAGCCATCTGTCTCTGTCATCTCTATAGTTTTGGAAGTTGCTTGCTCTGCACTTCCTGTTTGCTCAGGTCATGTTATACCCTTCTCAGGTCTTTGATGGAGTTGAAGACTAGACAGTTACAGTTACATTACAGTTCTCCCTAATCATGGCAGAAAGTAAATTAGGTACCAAACTCTAGACTCTTCAGGAGAGGACAGCTGATGGAGTATTTTCTCTAATTTGATAAATACAAATGGACTGGATATTGTAACTGTAATTCTTACTTGATAACTGCTTTTCTTGCATATAATTTTACTATGTTAGAGTTAAAAACTTCCTTTTTAGTTAGAAAGGGAGAAATGTGGAATATTCCTTAACACTGTGTGCATATGTCACTATAACTAGGTTAATAAAGAAAGCTGACTGACTAATAGCTGGACATGTAGAGATTAGGTGAGACTTGCAGAAAAAAAGAGAATGGGAAGAAGAGGAGGAGTCTAGAGGTCTCCAGAAGATGTGAAGAGAAACAAAATGAACTTGCTGTGCTAAATTAAAAAAAAAAAGTTCTGCCACATAACATAGTGTAGATAAGAAATATGGGTTAACTTCAAATATAAGATTAGCTAGTGATAAGCCTGATCTATTACCGAGCAATTATAGTTAATCTTAAGTGTGTGGTTATTGGGGAGCAGTTGGCAGGACAGATCTGATCAACTGTCTAGATGGAAAACTGCACCTACAATAGGTGGGAAAGAAAAGGCCTCCCTGACCTTTTGATAAACATGTTAACAGACTGAACATTTTCTGGCGAGTTTCTTTCCTATTGTCACATAATAACCAGCAAAGGGACTGAGTGTATGCATGCTAATACTCAGTTTTCAATCATCTCCCACTGGCCCATGCATTCTCTTTTGTAAACTCTGTGTCCACAATTTCCATTCTTATAGGATGATATCCCAAAAACCAGGGAATGTGATGGCGGGGATTAAGGAGGATTGATCTAAACAGTGCAAAGCGAAAGCATCTGCTTCCTGTGTCTGAAAGGTTCTTTAACCTAAGTTGTTATCATGAGAATGAAGCCAACAGTCAGGGACCATCTTCTAGCAATGCTCCACACTGGCAGCAAGGGTAACAATGATGGAGCATAGCAAAGATTAAACCTGTTACCATTTCAAATAACATTAATATTCTCTGATTTAGAGACTAAAAAGAATTTAAGATAGCATAAATGTATTCTGGCCATCCCAAGAAATTCCCCTAAAGCATGTCTACAGTTTAAATGCTGTCACCAGCAGTATCCTTGTCACACTGTGTGGAGTGCTGTAAATGATTTTCAACTATTCAAAGACATTTGGGTAAATTTAGTTACTTCTCCCTGTGAGTGTGTGATGTTGTAGTTATTGCTGCTGTTGTTGTTTTTGGAACATTATACAGTTCTGATTAGGCAGGAATGTGAAATTTTCCTTCCTGCTTACAGAGTGCTGGGGATACAGGTCTTGCTTGGCTTGAAACTTTTAAGGGAAGGGGAAGTAGTATGTGTGGTTATTATATTTTTGCTCTCTAATAGAGCAAGACAGAGACAGATCCAGGTTTGACATGGATTTTCTAGCTATTTGGGTCTTCTAGCTTTATGGAACTTGGATAAGAAGAAACAAGTCAGAGGCTTTGAAGAGGCATCCTCGATTGCCTGTCAATACCCAACCTTCTTGATATATTCAAGGAACTTTACAGATACAGAAAAGGACCATTTTTATAAACAAGTCGGGAGAGTAGAAAGAGTTCTGATTTCACATCAGAAAACTGACCCAAGCCTTTAGTTCTCCCTCCAGCAACTCCCTTCTCTCATTCCTCTCCATAACCACAGTCTTCCTCATCTGCCTGACAAGGTCACAGTAAGAATCAACATACAAAAAAAAATCACTTTATAAACTCAAGTAGTATAAGAACATAGGTTGTTCTGATTCAATAACTCATCCATTCTCATAATACTTCCATGCTGTGAGAATAGTACTGATTTCATTTTCCCTAAGTTTACCTTAGCAGGCTGCATTTGATATTTTTACAACCATCATTATTGGTGTTTTAGGCAAAATTACAATGTTTTTTCCCTACTTTAATATGATTTAAACTCGGATTACAAAACCCTTTCCCAATTCCATGAACTGAAATAGAAAATCAGGTAAATAGGGGTGATTTCACAATATACAAAGAAGCAGATTCATGGCAGGAAGAACTATGCAATCTAGGACCAAATATGGCCAAGTCTATTTCATAGCAGGGTATAGAGACATACTTGAGAAGACTGGGACATGGTTTTCACGTCTTTCCTTGTATCACAGAGGTCCCTTTGTGACCTATTGTCCTCACAGCTTATGGTAGCTTAAAGATGGTTTACCTGAAACACTGATTTCAAAATGATTCAGTAAGTGACAGAATCTGTAGAGAGGAAATGACTCATTTTGGTCCCATATCTCACTTCAGCTCCTGCCTTGTTTGCCCCAGTATACCAAGTTCGGAAGCAGCTAGCTGACTGACCAAGCATAATCACCCCAACAACAGACAAAGAGCATTATGTGCCAAGCAATATCCTAAGATTCTAACAGAAATTACCTCTAATTTGTTAGCCCCACAATTGCCATAAAAAGCAGGCTTTTCTTAGATTTTGTTTGGAGGAAAGTATACCACTGACAAGAGACATGACATGCCCAAGCCTAGAAGCTGAAGCAGAGACAGCATTCAAATACAAAAACAAACAAACAAAACAAAACAAAACAAAATAAAAAACAGCAGCTTGCAGTTCTAGAAGCTGAAGCAGAGACAGCATTCAAATACAAAAACAAACAAACAAACAAAAAAAACCAAAACAAAACAAAATAAAAAACAGCAGCTTGCAGTCAGGGAATTCAAGTTTTCTACTTACCTTGATGTTAAGCCTTGGTCTTCTTTTAGGAAGGAGATAGTAAAGCTAAGTAAATCCGTAGAGGAAGAAGTAGGCAAAGAACTGGTTAGTACCCTGAAGACAAAAGAAAGAAGAAAAAAATATCAAAATGAGAACTGGTAAAAAAAAAAAAAATCCGAAATGATAGCTTAAATTACTTGGTTAGTTTGGTGGGCTTTTTTTTTTTTTTCTATCCAAAGAGGGTTTTTTTTTTCTGTATCTTTCTTTTACTCTCTCTCTCTCTCTAAAAGAAAGCACTTAGAATTAAACATTGAAATCAAAGAGGGTTTTTTTTTTCTGTATCTTTCTTTTACTCTCTCTCTCTCTCTCTAAAAGAAAGCACTTAGAATTAAACGTTGAAACATTTATTAGTGCTAAATACCATCAGAAGGATCTATGTTTCTATATTACCTCGCCATCTGGACAATACCCAGCATAAGGCAGACCCTTTTGGACATTCACGTAGATACATTCATGGAATGCAAGGAGGAGACCTGTGATGGGCTAGGCCATATTCCAAGGACTTTCCCGAAAATACATCACACAGCTCTTGCAATTTTGTGAGATAAAAATTAATAATTTTGTTATTAATAAGGGTAGTAATAGTCCCACATTAGCCATAGAACAGAACATTTTCTGATAGAAAAGACAGAGAAAGTTGGGAGGTGGTGGTGACACACACCTTTAATCCCAGCACTTGGGAGGCAGAGGCAGGCAGATCTCTGTAAGTTTGAGGCCAGCGTGGTTTGCAAAGCGAGTCCCAGGGCAGCCAAAGCTGTTACACAGAGAAATCCTGTCTTCAAAGCAAAACAAAACAAAACAACCCCCACCCCCAAATAACTAATTACTAAATAAAATGTAGGTGAGGCTTCAGACAATGGCTATGTGCTATAGTTTGCTCAGGGAACATTATTGCTAGTGCTGTGATCAATACCCTTAACAAAGGACTCTTAGAACCCCGGGAATTCTAAGAAAATAAGAGTTAGAAAGTGTTATAAGATTCCCGAGGCCACAAATGTATTACTCCACCAGTCAGACAACTTGAGAATTACTGTTATCTGCTGATGACTCATTTGATGGACTCACTCAGAAAAAAAGAAAGTGAGTGGATGTGACAGGATGTGCAAGACAGAGCAGAGGTTCCTCCATCCTGTATTCCTGCTTGTATTTTAGGTTTAACTCCAATTTGATGTCTTTGATGATGAATCCCATAGGACCCAAGGCCAAGATACCCCAGTTAACTTAACTTCTGTTAATTGCCTGATCATGCAAAGTTCCTCTTCCAGCTGCTGAACAAGGTATCAGGCTGTGGTTCCTGTCTTTAAAAGCCCCTTAGTCTAAGTGCTCGAGGCTACTACACTTGGGTCCCAAATAATTGAATGTAGTCTTAGCCAGCTGGAATAAATAATTAACAATTGGCTCTGGTGGGCTTCCCTTAACACAGAAAGCAACATGAATTTTGCAGTTCCCTAGAGTTTTTGAGCAAGAGTTAAGAGGTTAAGAAAATACTCCATATCTATTTCCTCACTTTCTGTCTTTTCCAGTATTCAGACAGAACCATGCTATAACAAAACAGTCAATGCTTGCAGCTATCCTAAACCAATCTATGTGGTAATAAGAGAAGCTAAGATTCCACTGACCTTAATAAAGGGCTTGCTCTCTCTTCTTCTTTAAAGTAACTGAGTAACAGAGCCTGTTAAAAGTCCCTTCTCCAGCTCCCCCCTCCAACTCTTTCCTCTCCACCCCCAACCCAACCCTCTCCAGCCCCCACCACCTACATCTCCCCTGCCAGTTTGCCCCTCCCCCTCCTTTGCTCACCCTTCTTCATTTACATCCTTCTCTGCACCGCCCTGCTTACTTCTAGTTTGTTTTCTCTTACCCTCCCTCCTCCACCATTTCCTGACCAAGCTTAAAGATAACTTAAAGCTTCTTAGCTGCCCGATTTCTCTCTCTCTGTTTCGATTTCCTAGGGCAGATCTGACTTTTCAGAAGCAAGATGGACAGTCAGTCGATGCCTTCTCCTAACTCACCATATTGTTCCCTCCAGGACACAGTGGGTCAAGAAGCAGTCACTGGAAACTACTTTCGTGGTCCTCCCAGTGAATCACACTTCTGACTCAGTGCTTAAGGGCACCCAGTCCCATCCTTTCCAGCCTTAGGGGCCCCAGTGCTGCCAAGCTCCTGCCCACCCTGGGAAGGACCTGGTGAGCCTGTGCACTTACCTGTCTGCTTGATGTCTTGCTCAGGGCCAGCACCTGTTAGACTCCAATCCAGCCCTGACTCAGGTCAGCAATATCCCAGACACATAGACTGAGAAAGCATGAGACACATAGAATGAGAAAGCATCCAAGGAAGTCCTGAAAGGGGGGTGGGAGGGTGGGTGAAAGGAAACTGTACCCTTAGAAAATTACTGACTCTGGCAAATCTGTTTGTTTCATGTCATTACTGCTTTCTTCAATTTTCTTTTTCTCCATTTTATTACTGACTCTGGCAAATCTGTTTGTTTCATGTCATTACTGCTTTCTTCGATTTTCTTTTTCTCCATTTCTGTCTTTTAGAAAGTAAGGGGACTAGGCCACTAAGTACTGACTTTCTTTATGACATCCAACTGGCAATTTTCTTTCTCTTTCAAACCTGCCAGACTTTTTCTCTGCTCACCCTCCCACTAGTCCTTTACTTCTTGATATAACTGTAGAATAGGGAAACCTGGCTGTTTCCTGTGTTGCTAACAAAGGGCTGATTTTGTCTGTCAAACTTAAAAGCAATTAAAAAATGTAATCATATAATAAAAAGACTTCTATAGCAGGGCATGTTGGTGTACTCCTTTAATCCCAGCACTCAGGAGATAGAGGCAGGTAGATCTGTGTAAGTTCAGGACCAACCAGGTCTATATAGCAAGTTCCAGGACAGCCAGAGCTACCTACATATCAGAGAGACCCTGTTTCAAAAACCAAAACCAAAAATCCTTAAAGGGTACATTTACCTAATTTTCTCAGCTTTTGCCAAGCATAACTAAAGAAAACTGACGCTACTGTACCTTCCTTTTTCTTGCCTCTGGGGGTAGAGACACCCACAGAGAGGATCTTAGAGCCCTGCACTGGTTCTATCTGGGGGTGGGTGACACCAAATGGGGCTCCCAGAAATCTGTTGTTAAATACAACTCAGCTTAGTGGTCTTTGGATAGTGAGAACAATCACTTCATAGACTCTTGAGGGAGAAAGGTAAGGCTGAGCTGAGACAATGAATAGCACTCTGGGATGCTGAAGTCTTCTTTAGTGTGGGAGATTGGCTAGGACTTGGTAGCAAAGTGAGATTTGTGGATGCAGGAAACCTGAGATTTTGAGACAAAGGATGAAGCAGTCTTGGTTTATAAGCTTTTTTTTATGTTTTCTATTGATGGATAGTTGGATGTTTGAGGAACCTACAGGGTCAAATGTTTACAGCTTTCTAGTCCCTGGTAGAACATTCCTGGGATAGTACATTCATGTTGATGGAAACACTGGGAAAACAGTTATATTAATTAAGTAGCCACCTATGTGAGTGTAGATGTTTCCCCCCACTCCTTAGCACACTGCACACACCTGAGGAAGAAATCAACATTTGCCTGCCCTGCTCGGGGATAGCTGAGGCTGGGGGACTACTCACAGTGGTGGATCCCATTCATCCAGAGACTGACAAAGCCCAATACCAGTCCTGCCTCCATCCAAAGGACCAGGAAGAGGAGAGACATCTGAGTATTGGATCTGTTTGCACCTACTGGAAGGAAACATTGGTCCCGAAACTACCAGGAAGGGAAGAGATTCCTTCTACACCCACCAGAAGAAGCAATGAGAAGAAGACAATATAAAAACACATTCAACAAGAGAAAAACCAATATGACACCACTGGAGTCTAGGGACCAGCAAGACCTGAACATCACAACACAGATGAAGCAGTAGAGAATGACCTCAAAAACATCTTCATGAAAATGATAGAGGACCTCAAAGAGGATATGAGAAAATCCCTTAAAGAAATGAAAAAAAATCCAAAAAATACTAGAACTCAACAAATCTCTTAAGGAAAGCCAGGGAAAAAAATCAAACAAATGAAGGAAACAATTCAGACAGTTCAAGACCTGAAAAATGAAATAGAGATAAAAAAATAAAAAACAAAAAACAAAACACAATCTGAGGGAATGCTAGAAATAGAAAACCTGACCAGGAACTATAGATGCCAAGCATAACCAAAGAATGCAAGAAATGGAAGAGAGAATCTCAGGAGTTGAAGATACACTTGGAGAAATAGACTCATCGACCAAAGAAAATCTTAAATCCATCAAATCCCTAACACAAAATATCCAGGAAATATGGGACACTGTGAAAAGACCAAACCTAAGAATAATACTTACAGAAGAAGGTGAAGAAACCCAACTGAAAGGTGCAGAAAACATATTCAAAAAAATCTTAGAAGAAAACTTTCCCAACCTAAAGAAAGACATGCCAATGAAAGTACAAGAAGCCTACAGAACGCCAAATAGAGTGGACCACAAAAGAAAGTCCCCTTGTCATATAATAATCAAAACCCCAAGCATACAGAACAAGGAAAACATATTAAGAGCAGCAAAGGAAAAAGGTCAAGTAACATATAAAGGAAAACCTATTAGAATTGTACCTGACTTTTCCATGGAAACTCTGAAAGCCAGAAAGTCCTGGATATATATTCTACCTATACTAAGAGACCGTTGATGGCTACTATAACCAGCAAGGCTTTCAATCAATATAGAAAACAAGATATTCCATGTCAAAACCAGATTTAAACAATGCATATCCACCAATCCAGCCCTACAGAAAGTTCTGGAAGGAAAACTCCAACCCAATGAAGATAATTACACTCACAAAAATATAGGGACTAGATAATCCCACTTTTCCAATAGCCAAAAGAAAAATAGGATGGAAATTCACAAATAATTCCACCACCACCACCAAATCCAAAATGAATAAGAATAAACAATCAATGGTCATTAATATCCCTCAATAGAAATTCAAGAAAGAGCTAATACCAATTCTCCTCAAAGTATTCCACAGGATAGAAGCAGAAAGGTCATTGCTGAACTCTTTTTATGACGCTTCAATAACCTTGATGCCCAAGCCACACAGAGACAAAACTAAAAAAGAGAACTACAGACCAATATCCCTCATGAACATTGATGCAAAAATTCTCAATAAAATATTGGCAAATCAAATCCAAGAACACAACAGAGAAATTATCCATCCGATCAAGTAGGCTTCATCCAAGGGATGCAAGGATGGTTCAACATACGAAAATCCATCAATGTAACCCACCACATAAACAGACTGAGGAAAAAATCACATGATCGTCTCATTAGATGCTGAAAAAGCCTTTGACAAACGCCAACACCTCTTCATGATATAGGCCCTGGAGAAAATAGGGATAACAGGAACATACCTCAACATAATAAAAGCAATATACAGCAAGCCAAC